AATTTTCTGGTAACGATGTTGTAAAAAATTAAGTAGTAAATTACTTGCTAGATTGTTGGAAAATGTTGGGTAAAATAACCTTTTTTATTCTAAATAATGATAAACGCAAAACTTGGCTGACTTTTTAATTCAGAATAACAATAAACGATAAACTTGGGTAACGTTTTAATTCTGAATAATGATTAACACAAAAATTGGATAACGTTTTAATTCTGGTAAACGATAAACGGAAAAATTGTGTAACATTTTAATTCTGAATAACTGAATTTTTTTTTCGAATGCAAGCCCTGGTATTTAGCTATGTTTGATTGAAATTATTTGTTTACAACGGAGGATATTGCACTATAATTATTTGCCTACAGATATGGTTCAATAGTTTCGGTTTAGGCATTCGATTAAGCAGTAAAGTTTGATTGCAACATTAACATTTATTTAACATTATCAATAAATTGTAGATAGTTGATTTTATTACAAACATGCTCTTGTAATTGAGCTAATAAATATCTAGGTAATAATAATTATCGAGTTTTCCGTTATTCCGCTTACGCGATTTAGTACCATAATTTAGTCCCCCCCCCAGAATAGGAAACTATTGTTTTTGTTTTTTTTCCATCTTGTCTTAAATTTCTCTTTCGTCTTATAATTCGATAATACCAGATGGTAACATAATATGTTAACAATATAGCTGACAATATATCTATATCTATACCAGTGGTTCTCAACTGGTGTGATAAACTAATGTCTCGCTTATTACCACAAAGTGTGTCACTAAAGAAATTGTTTATTTATATTATTATTATATTATGTTCAAAACATTATGACGTTATTATGGTGTTATGCCGTGGTGTTAAAAATCACAGATTAGATTACAATTGCGAAAATACCTAGTCTCATTTAATCTCTTAATTTACATAATATAAGCTTGTAAAATTGTAACCTACCTATTATTTCAGAAATCCATTAATATTTTTAAAGAGTATTTTTATGGATCAGAATAACATCTATGTGTAATGTGTATTATACTACTATTATAAACCGTGTAATGTATAGAAGTCATAAATGGTTATAAATGTTTAGTTGACCATATATTATTCCTGGATACAATTGCAACACTTACTATTATTTTAATTACTGTGCCTGTAATGTAAATTAATATTTTAAAATCATAAAATATTATACACAAAGTTTAAAAAATACATCATATATGTATAGTGATTTTATGTATATTATTAATTTACGATTGAATAATGGTAGTGGACACTGATCACTAGCTACTACCTCCGTGGACTAAATACCTATAATTGTACATAGTAAATGTATTTATTTACATAGAAAAGTAAGTATTAAATTTTCGCGAATGTGTTACAAAAGTGGGACCATATTTAGTAAATGGTGACGCAGATAGCGGTATGCCAAGGAGTTGTCATTGGGGGATATTTGTTATCAGTAATATTCAGGAATTAAATTGTATACAACTTTTATGCTAAGTAAAATTTTTAATTTCAGTTCTCTGAATTATGAAACAAATTTGAAAGCATTTTATAAGAAATTTAATGAAAATGCTATATCCCTAGTAGGATATACATTTAAATTTTAAATTAATTTGTTGTGATAGTACCAAAGACATATTAATAAGAGGACTTACGGAACAGTGGGAGGGACATAACCTCTAACCCCCTCCATCGCCTGGGCACTACACTGGACACGGATCCTAATATCGAGAAGTCTCCTATATTTGTAAGATGTATGGTAAGTTGTAGATATGAAAACAACATTACATCTACGTGGCACTTGGTAGAAACTCATGTAAGTGCAATACTGAAATCGCTTATCACGATTTGCAAATCCTTTAGTGCCTGCCTCCACCCTCTCCAACTTCTTACTAATATTTTACCATTACTACTTCGTGATACGCAAAAACTAAAAAGTAAAGATTTTATACAATTCCATGATAAGCCGTCAAAACGTCATGAATCATATTAAATATACTTTTTCTTGTATCTAAAATAATTTAAACACATTTTGTTTAAATTATTTTATTTATTTTAATTGGAGAATTAATAAATATATTAGAATTTTCGGTATTTATTTTCTAACATAATAATAACAGTTAATTATATAAAAAGAGATAGTTATATGCTATAGTATAAAATAATCACGGTTTTTAAATGTTTTTTTAAATACTGGTTATTGCAGAAAATTATAGTCCATACATAGTTATATCTATAATTTTATCATAATTTTTAAAATAATTTTATAATTAGAAAATTAAAAATAATCCTGTCGTTATTTTTATAAGCTATTGAAGTGGTCTATGATTCAACATGATTAATACTTAAATTGCATTATATTAACTGTGTCAACTATAAAACATAATATTTGTGACTGTTGTTGGTGGGTGCAAAATGCAACTCTTGCTCCCACTGAAAAATTACAGTGGGTTCAAGTTCACCATCATGCTCCCCCCCCAAAAAAAAAAAAAATAAATGACCCCACTGCATAATATATAAGCCATGTAGCAGTCTACAGAGATGTAGGTATTATACATTTTTAATTTACCTTTTTCGTTTTGTCGATAAAGTGTTTTATAGAATAACAACATCGATATAGATTTAATTAATAGGTACCTACATTGTACAATATGGGTCACTATGTTATCGACCTCTTATCGGTATTATTTGGTACTTTATCATACAGTTACAGAATTTATATACAGACGAGATGAAGAAAGTTGTGGCCCGTGTGGATTATGACGCGCATTAGGTTAGAAAAACTATTAATTAATTATTGCACCGTTATCTCGCACAGCTCCGCTATATTATATTCATTTCGTTTTCAATTTTTTAATTATTAATTAATAATTATTATCTTATTAGTACATGGATTCATTATTATTCTCTAAGAATTGTATTTTTATGATTATGATTCCAATTCAAATTATAGCTAATGGAATCAAAATTGTATGGATACTAAACTTCTAATAGTCCCATAGCGATAAGTTCAATTCATGAATCGTCCCTTATCTAGGTACTTATAGAGGTTAGAATATGCGTTCCATATTTACATTTTAGTTGTGGTACTTATGAGTCGATTTTCAATATAAGTACCACGACCAGTAACATATTGATGTAGTTATATCGATGTAACTTAAATCTGTATGGCTACCATAACTATAATTTCTAAAAACGTTAAAATATCTATTTACTAATAAATTAGATTATTAGTTTTATTGTTTTTCCTTTAGGTAATATTGTTATATAGGATAAAATTACTTAGGAGGACTTTTCAGTGATTTCAAAAATATATCGCGTCTTATAATATTATATTATACAAGTCCCATTCAATTGGATATCTTTAAAATGTTGGTCATCAATATAAAATATAAATACTAGATTTTAATAATTTATGTGATTTAAAGTAATGTTTCCCCAGATTCCAGTAGGTATATTATACCTTTAGGTTACTGACTGCCGTATTTGTATTATATAATTTTTAATTAATATAATAATTAATTTTTTTAAGGAATATTCCGATCCATTATAACACCATAGGTATATTATTATAACAATAATATGTTCCTTATTGAATATTTCCAGAGGCATATAAATTATGTGGAACCATGATTTTTTTCTATGTAGGGAGGGTCCAATCAAGAAATGAATTTATATTAGATATATTTTTAATTATAACTTGCATTTAGTTATTAAAAATATAATAGTTTATAAGTAGATATCAGTTATTACTTATTAGGTACCTAATTATTATGTATTACATTGAGTATACCTACATTACCTATTATTACTAATAAATATATTATTATTATAATATAATGATGTAATAAGCAATATATTTTTTTTTGTATTCACAATAATATTAGGTATATTATATTATACTCAATGTTTTAACATTGGTGAGTAAAATACAAACGTTAAATTAATTTTAAAATAAGTGTTCCAGGGCCAAGGGTCAACTCTGTTTGTTAAACTACTGATAGAGGACGACTATCACCACTGAATGTAGTCTTTATACGACTATATAGTTCTGACATAAGTACATAAACAGTTAAATGGGTAATCTTTAAATATTTAATATTAATATAATTATTCATCCGAGTAACTTTGGTATAATATTGATGACTACTAAATAATTTACTAATAAACTTGTATGCAAGAGTTTATACATAGTTACGATAATTTGATTTCTTTTAATTAGAATAAAATAAGCAATTTGTAATTACTGTGGTACCTAATAATATTGGTACTTTATCGGGAATTTGAGACACAAAGGCAAGATGTAACATATCGAATGATAATAATATAATAGCTCATAACATATAATATATACAGCGCCTCAAAAAAAAAAACAATAAAATATTGATCGATTATTTGATTATATGAAACATTCTTTAGGACTCTAATTTTTTTATTTGCTGTTGACAAAACATAAATTTGTTCTATAATAATAGTAATTTAAATGTTCAGATAAAATATAAAAACGTATTTAAACAGGTACGTTAAATTATTTTAAATTTTAAGCGATGTATTTTGCATTGTGCTTCACAAGCTTTTGATATTGGTTATTTTTTATACTGCATTTGGGAATTATTATTTATTAATATTAACACTGTTAGGTACTCATTAATATTATATTATTATTTAAAATTACCAATCAGTATTTATTTTAGACCGTATGTGAATAACTGTCCACGTTTTGAATTTTATATAAAATATATACATTGGACAACACTTTTCTTTAAACAGCCAAAAACACAATGATTTGATGTATTGCAAAATCATTGTAATATTTGATTTTTAAGACATACAAAAAAAGTCAATAATAATTATTGAAATTATTTCAAATCGTTGGAGATACGACTGCGCTAAAAAAAACTTAACATATCTAATACCACCCACGATACATTGAACCTACGATTTTTTGAAAGCAATAATGATATTATCATGACGCACATACATCGTGAAGGAATATTATGGTATACTTACTGGCAAACTGCAGCAATAGCATGACGTAGAACCCAACGACGGCGGACATCAGGTGCGTGAACCCGGCGTGTTTGTGCCTGGGAAACACTTCTAAGAACACCACGAACGCCAGCGAGCCGGCGCCCAGTCCCTGTGAGATGACGTGCAAGATGCCTGGCGATGGCGGCTTATAGGCCACGACGTTGCCGCAGCACTGGGACAGGGCCATGCCGATCGCGACTCCGACGGGCGTGACGGTGGCGAAAACGGCAGAGCACGCGACTATTGCAGAATTCCTGGCTCCTGACCAGGCCAGTTCCATGCCCAAGCAGAATGAGACGATCAGTTTGGTAGCAGATGCGGTGGCATACGCGTACCACACGGGGTCGTCGGGGCCCGAAGTTTCCATGCCAAATGACAGGCCTACAAACGCCTCCTGAAATGACAAGGCCACTACGGCGAACAAGACTCGGAATGACTTAGGCGATGGGTGGGCGCCGGGTTCTGCGAGTGTTATTGTTCTGCGCCCTGGCCCACGTGTCAAATTCACAAATTCGTCGATGACGAATACCGCGAAGAGTCCTAAGCAAAATATTAGGTCGCCCAGATGAACGGTGTCTGGCAGCCGGCCGTCCGCCTGGAGTACGCGCACCGTCTGCCGGACGTCGGGCTGCATTTGGACAAGGGCGGTGTAGAGCAGCACGCCGCCGCCAAAGCACAAAAGTACCGACGCGACCGTTGGTTTCCTCGTGATGCCGGCCCTAGACTCACGCCACCCGTGGGCGAACTTCACGGGTGACAAACCTACGGCGAATGAGCATAAGCAAAGAAGGAGGGATACCGACGCTTTTGCAGCGGCTATGCGGTCTGCGGTACTAACTGAATTAACCGCTACACTGGAGTCCATGGCGTAAAAGACAAGCACTGTGAAACGATCGATTATATTGGTTATGCAATAACAATATTATGATATCTTACTGTGAGCTAAGGTTACAAACTTACAACACACCTACTACATCGACGATTTATCTCTGCAATACGAATTAGTTTAGTCCCGAGGGTCCCGGAGTTAAATGCACGTGAACGGTTTCCCGATCCTAGTACGTTTCAGCGCGGGGGGCGGAGCCAAGGCCTTTCTGCATGATGTATATATGTTTTTACCGATTCTAATCTGATTCAGCTCGATGCGCTGAACCCACATAGGGTTCGTAATTTTAATAAAAACGCTTAAAACAAAATATATCATATTACATTTTTACATAGTACATTGTTTTACTATCAATATTTATTCAAAAAAATTAACAATAACTACATATTTCTGTTTTTATTACTGTGTTCGTCACATTATATTATAGTCATAATATAAGTATTACTGATAACAATATTATAAGTTAAATATTTTTAATCAGGCTGAGCGTTGTGATATAAAAATGTCATTAATCTATATAAAATGCAGTAGGTACTAATAAATAATAAATAAATAAATAATAATTATAATACAAGTAAAATATTTTTTATCAGGCTGAGTAATACGTATTACATACAGCGTCATGGTATAAAATTTTCATTAACCTATTATTATAAAATGTGTCAATAAATAATAAAAATAATAATAATAATAATAATATAAGTAAAATATTTTAATCAGGCTGTGTTACATGCAGTGTTCTGTGTTATTGTATAAAAATGTAATGCTAGTGATGTGTTACATTGAGTTTGTTTGCTTGTTATTGCTCCTAAATTTTTTTTTTTTTTTTTTTAATTGAATTGTTTCGACTTTAGACCCTGCTTGAATACGTTTAGATCCTTTAGTGAGTCCAGCTCTATCTTTACGACGTGCGATTGCAGTTGGTTGTACACTTATATTTTTATCCATTCATCATGTAAGGTGTAAATTTGACGTGTCCTGGGATTTATTTGTGAATTAGCTAGGGTTATTGATATTAATATTGATAGCTATTAATATTGATACCATCATTTTGAGTTGAAGGAAACATTATGAGATAACTTAACAATACAATTTATATTAGGTAATTCCACAGCGTAATATAACAACACTGTATGTAACACGTATACATACATTACAATATAGGTACTTTATATTAAATAGGTATATAGTCATGTACGATGTACCTAACCACAACTGCTCAGCCTGATTAAAAATATTTAACTGATATTGTTACTAGTTATACTTATATTATGACTATAATATAATGTGACGAACACGGTAATAAAAACAGAAATATGTATTTATTGTTAATTTTTTAAAAATTACGAACCTTATGTGGGTTCAGCGCATCACTCTGAATCAGATTAGGATCGGTAAAAACATAAATACATCATGCAGAAAGGTCTTGGCTCCGCCCCCCGCGCTGAAACGTACTAGGATCGGGAAATACGCGACGTACGTACGTCAATTAGGTTAAAATGGTTTAGTTAACTAAAATACAAAGTGTGCATTAGAAATTGGTACTTAAACACAACACACTATCGCCACTCAATGATGATGTCGATCATAGCTAGATTAATTCGAATTGAGGCAAATCGGTTTAGGACGTGGTAGTAAGTAATCTAGCGTATTACACCGTACGAGTTTATAGCCATGGATGCAAGGCTGGGCAAGTTAATGATTTTTTTAACTCGGTTAAGTTAAGTCAATATGTATCAATAACAATAAGTTAAAAGGTAAAAGTTAATTTAACTATAGGTTAACACAGTTAACAGTTAATACACACTTTTTATCAAGTTAAAAAAAGTTTATTTGTTTATACAACGCTAGCGTACTTAACGCTACTTTTCCACGCCAAAAGTAAATTATAGACTATTGTGTGTATTTTATAAAGTATTTCCATATAAGTTAGATTCGTATGATATACATTTTTAACTTTAAACAATTCACGGTAAATATTTTTTGACATGAAAACGAAATAGACCCACATAGGTGAAATATAATTACATTTAAAACAAAATAAATTAACTTAACTTACTTCTTTAAAATGAAAGATTAATTCGTTATTTTCATGTTAATTAAAAAAGAAATTTAGTGGGTTAAGTTAATGAAAAGCCAAAAGTAGCTATACTTAAAAAGTTAAAATAAACTTTTTAACTTACTATTACTTTTCAACTCGTTAATGCCTAGCCTTGAATCGCATGAATATACTTGCATGTATTATGCATACCAAATTCGCATCGCGTCAATGCGAATCAAGTTCATTAATGACAATAATTGTAAGCTAGGTGATAAATTATGTGCCTAAATTGTATCGATATCTCTATGACCAATTATTACAATCTACATTATTGAAATTATTAGAAATCATTAGATATAAATTATTAGAACCATAATATTGATACGAAATATGTAGGCAACTATACTACAATACAACTACATTATATTATAAAGTTGTCAGTATACTTACGTAAATATAGGTATACGAATTGACGATGGTATATCTGTGAGTACCTTGATCGACGTCTAGCCGCTCAACTGTACCTTTGTATACTGACGGAGAATGAAACACAAACGCGTCCTGTCCAGTCGCAAATCCGTCGTGAATTGCAGTGCTGTGGCTGTTGTAAACTCTATGGACGGATGCCGCCGATGTGAAATACGCGCGCACGTACTGCCTTCTTCCCACACAGCAGTGTTTCGAGTGACGTCATACACTGCTCTGCTCCGCGTTCGGTTTTACGAGATCTTAAATGTTGTTTAAAATTATTATAATTATTATTACTTCTATAACTACTATTATTATTATTGTGAGCTTAGAGAAGTCGATCAACTATTAAATAGTGACGTACAATATTATCTATTATTTATATAGTTCGCAATAAGTCACACCCGCTTGATGAACGTCTTGTCCATTTCATGAAATGAAAACTAATTTCTTCGACTGAGATAAATAACTAAATAATAAATAATTTTTTAGTGAAATAATTAAAACTGTCATAAAGTGGATATCTTTTCACAAAATAAATAGGCAGGTACTTACTAAAATTTGATATTGTGTAATTTTTTCATCAAATTACCATCCATTTTATGAAACAAAATATAATATAGGTACATTTAATAAATATAAATCATCATATCACATTAATTAAAAATATAAATAATATAATAATATAACAATATATCAAATATGAATTAGGTATTTAAAAAAATAATAGTCAAAAATATTTTCAAGTTCCCAATCTAAAATAGAATCTATGAATAAGAAGTTTTAATAGGAGTTTTATACCTACCTGCAGATGTCCTGATTACAAAATCTCAATAGAATGATAATTAAATAAATCAAACTTCATTATTCTGACTATAGGTGATGCGAGTGAATAATTTGTTTTTTGAAATTTAATAAAAAACATTTGTGTCACGCTTGCATCGAAAGTTTGGTTTTCAATGACGGTCGAAGCGTTGGAAAGCGACCTTTTACCCGTCCAGCGCGGAGGTATGTAAAGTGGAATCTCCAAAAGTGCCGTGAGGTAAAGTGGAAATCCCCTAAAGTGTCGGGCGCACATATAATGCGTATCCCCTGCACAACCAGACACTGAAATCTATACCACGGTCCTTGAAAAAAAATAAACTTTTGGTTACATCTTAAAGCCATATTATAACCTCGTTGCGTGACGCGTACAACATTTTTCTTTCATGATATATCGTTTTCGTAGAATAGTTTCCCCACAATACCTTTGGAGTGATCGGAGAGGCGAGACATACAATAGTATGTGTGGCTCATGCGGGAAGGCAATTTCAGTCTTGGGTGAACACAGTGGCGTACACACGGGGGGGTTTTGGGTGTTCAAACCCCCCCCCCCCTTTAGTATTTTTTCAGTTTACTTAATAACGTAAAAATGTATAATAAAAATGATGACAATTTAAAAAAATATTATATTCCAAATTATACTCCATTATATTATAACTTATAAGCAACCCAGTTTGTTGTTATAATATATTGTAGATATTATTGATAACTTGTTACAAATTAATGAAATTATTGGTAAATTTGTTCAAACACAAACATGAGGGTCGACAATCGTGTAATCCGATATAATATGCCTTAATAGCTATCGCAGTATCGCTAATACTATAGTATAGAATCTATTTCTCAGTTTTAATCAAATTCCTGACGCTTTGGACGTTTAGTAAATTGTACTTACTGTTTAAATATTTTATAAAACAATAAAAATGAAAAGAATAAACGAATATTTTTCTAACTCACTAATTTATGATACAATTAACTCGGAGGAACCAGGTATATTTAATACATTATATTATCAATCCTAGGACCTAGGTACAAAAAAATGATTAATATGGTAAAAATAAATTTCTCTTTATACCTATCTTTTATTGAATTGTATATAATATATTATTATATACATATTGTATGTACGCGTGTAACTTTGTAGTTATACTAAATAATTACCTGTAGGTAATAGGTATATATTTTTTAAATAATAATCGAGAATTGTAAAAATATTTTTAATTTCACCTTAAGTCATTGCTAATGAGCCGATTACTCATTAATTACAAAATAATTACTATAGGTACATCGTTTTGATTCATCAATGTATTATATATATATGTATATAATTTTTTTATATGTAAGCCCCCCCCCATTGAAAATAGCTGTGTACGCCACTGGGTGAACACGTCCAACTAAAATAGCTCACTTCCCGCCCTTGCCAGTTGCCACACAATATACTATTTTGCAAGTTCCACAATGATTGACATTACAGCTAAATCAATCAATTAATTGAACCAAAGAGTAATTCAGAACGGTTTATGACCAACTATTGACTATTTTATATAAAAACACCAAATAATCAATTATTTTCTCCAGTAACGGACTGGCCCGGTGTGCCACTATTCTATAGCACAGTGGGCCGGTACCAGATTGTAAGTGTTGGGCC